AGTAGACACCGCGTGCATTTGTTTACGAGGACTCTCTCGTCTCCGCGAATGGACTGTAATTCTGCCTGAAGGAACTGAGGAAAATGACGAAACAAATCCTGTCACTATCTTCTTGCGTAAGTTCAAACTGGATATCTCTGTCTATTTTCAGGCCGACAGACGTAACGTTCCCTAACAACTGGCAGGACAGCCGGTGTGCAAGCCCCGCTGTGGACAGAGTGTCGCTCTTCACTATGCCCGGCTGTTGTCAAATGGGTACCGGGTGTAGTGATTAGCAGGCTTGTTTCGTATCCGTGAAGTCACGAGCTCTAGCCTCGGCTATGCTGATTGAGTGGTGTCCCTTGGTCGCTTGACTCGAACGCCTTAAGTAGGCCACGACCTTGCGACATACTCTCATATCACTCGCAATCATCCTCCCAAAAGAAAGTGCAAAACATATGAAGACGGCAAGTAACTAGACCACAGCGTCAGGTGTAGTGGAGTAAAGAGACATACTCGTACATATATTTCGTTGGAGATGAAGGGCCGGAGCCTGAAGCTGACCACTTAGCCTCAATATGTGTATGTTGTGATGAAGAATGAATGGAGTTTTGCCTTTACGTTCTCTATACGCCTTCATGCCCTGATTTGTAGTTCACGAATGTTCAAGGGTGCTTTAGTAATATAGTATCTGTCTGTAACATATTTTAATAGCTTTATGCTCTCATAATTAGTACGAAACTTTATTAGATAAATCTTTCCTTTATTAGTAATGGTCTAGTTGATGAAGTGAGGACCGAGCAAGGTGGCTCAGTCGGTAACGCTTCTGATTTGTATTCGGGAGGTGCTCGTTTCGAATTGGGGCCGGAACATTGCCTATCCTGAAGTAAAAGTTTCTTGGATTTCCTCAGTCCCTCCATGAAAATTCCGGTTTTGCAACTGTAATCTTTTTCAAATCACGAATCGATATAATTCTGAGTTTTTTATTGCTAGTGGGGTGGGACTAAGTCCCTTGTACTGCGGCCACTTCTGGCCTATTGTACCATCCCCAGATGGTAGGTGAGGGTGATTGTGGAGCGATTGGTGGAATGGAGATTGGCAGGGGAAACCGAAGTACTCGGAGAAAACCTGCTCCAGCGCCACTTTGTCCACCACAAATCCCACTTGACCAGACCCGGGATCGAACCCGGGCCGCCGCGGTGGGAAGCCAGCGACTAACCGCTTGAGCTATGTCGCAGCCTAATTCTGAGTTACTAGTGGCTTCATTTAACAAATCACAAATAAATGAACTAAAAATAAACTAGCCACGATAGGAGCGACACACATATAGACACGCAGACTGGTGGGATTTATGAAGTACGCCGCTGAAATGAGATCACGTGCCTTGATATACACACCAGGTTTCATAAACAATGGTTCGGCCATTCAGAAGATGGTGGGGACGGGGATACACAGACAGCATGGAGACAACATAGCCTACATTTAATTTTTTTCCAAAATAAGGAAAGTAGGCTAAAAAGGGGCAGTGTCTAGTGTCGTCTCAGGATCCATCCGCCACTGGACGTACTCTTGCATAGAAACAAATCAAGTTACAGCGAACTAAGCAGAGCGAGCAAGTGACGAGCCCAGCTGCAGGTGTACAACCCTCCCTCCATGCTCTCGCCCTGATGCAAGCCGTGTGTGAGCTTATCGCTAGTCTATACGTTTCTTTAGATCAAATAACATGCAGCAGCGCTGTGAGACGCACAAACCCTACGAAGTCAGATTTTGTCCAGGGAGTTGGAACGTGGGAACAGGTTTAAGGAAATCTCCCATGAAGAAATCATATCGCATTTAATTACCAACTGTTGAACTCCGTTTGATGGGGTGACCTATACGAATGAACTTCAAGTAGCTTACGATAATTCTCTCTTGTTTCTTTACTTTCTCTTTCTCTTTCTCCCTCCGTCCTTCATTCTTCGCCTTCTTAATGTTTCACGTTCGACGCCATGAAGTATACAGTATTCAGCGGTATTCAGTTCATGCCATGTATGCGGTAGGTATCTGCTTCGAATCCTCGGCGGACTACAGGCAATCCAGAGATTTCGTTCGATACAAGCTACGCGAAATCAAGTTTATATATGTATGTATAAAACACACGCATACATATATGTATATGACCACATGTCACAGTCTTCTTCCGGGACAGACTTCTCCAGAGTACCTATATGTCTAGGAGCCATTCCTAAAAGTATGAGTCGCAATAAAAGGCAAATTAATTCTGTTGAGAGAGGAGGCACGCGGTAGCGTGGTTGGTTCAGGCACTATACTATAAGCCGGAAGGTCGCGGGTTCGAGTACCGAAGAGTGGATTTTTTCATTTTACCTAATTCTTCCAGCCACACTCTGGTCCTGGGGTCGACTAGGCCTCTGACAGAAATGAGCACCAGGATTCTTCCGGGGGGGGGGGGTAGAGGGTCATCTGTGAGCCGATTGTCTAGAGGAAATGTGGAAGTCTCTTACAATTCTATGGGCCTTCACCTGCCTTCATGGTTCTTTACAGGGATAGCTTTACCTTTACCTTACCTCTGCTGAGGAATTCTCTCGTTTCAAAGCTTTCTTCCAAAGCAGGCAAGTGGATATACAGGGTGTTTCACGACTTTAGGGCATAACTGCAGGAGGTGATTTCTTAGGTTTTTTGTGATCAAAAAAGTTCATATAAACATGTGTCCGATTTGGACGGTTACGGAGTTATGACCGTTTTTTCATTCCCGTACACGCCCTCGTGTGAACCGCGTATGTCAGCTGGAGGATCGCTATTTTTAGCCAGCTACAAACAGAACGTTCTCGTTATCTCGACACTTGAGATGTACCTAAGGCGGGGAGGGTTGGTATGTCCGGCGCGGTTCACAACCGAGCGGCAGCCTGTGTTGTGGCCGGCGGTGGCATTTTCGAAAATCAGCTTTAAGCACCAATCAATTCAAATTAAAGGTAATTTCACGAAGTTAACTTTACATTCATACTTTAAATGTATCATGTATTATGCTGGTTTATTATTTTGTTCCGTTTATTGTCAGTAATCGTTACCTTTTATTCTGAGTTTAAAACGGTCATAACTCCGTAACCGTCCAAAATCGGACACATGTTATATGAACTTTTTTGATCACAAAGACCTGGGAAATCACCTCCTGTAGTTATGCCCTAAAGTCGTGAAACATCCTGTATATATCCGTGTCTGTGCCTTTCACCTACTATCATCCTCTAAACTGCTGGACAGATTTTATTGAAATTTGATATGAGGATATTTCAATAAAATTTACGATTCTCAGCCATAGGCTTATTGATCTATAATGAAATGTGATATAGACAAGGCTATGAACGGAATGTTCCATGCATCCAATTAGCGGAACTATTTCAATATGAAGGAATTGAAGAAAGGAATTATGAGGAGTGACAATAAGATGGACAAATGTAAGCGATGGAAAGGAATACCGAAGAGGGAAATGGAGGAGAAGAATGGAAAGAAGAACGGAATAACAGTGGCGAGGGCTAGTTCGGCCATTCAATTTCTTCTGTTCGCCCTGAATTATTTGCAACAATTTTTAAAACACTCTTAGGGCGAAGGCACACCAAGGAAACTGGCAACCGCAAAGCAACCGCAATTTCCGAGAATCGTAAGTAGACTGAGTTGAACACATGGAACTGAATGGAGAAGCGCAAAATGAGAAAACGGCAACGCAACTCGCGGAAAGACTGAGAAACTCAACTTCCAGGCAACGGAGCATGCCAGTCTTCTCACAATTGCGTTACTGCGTGGTTTCCTTGTGTCAGCTGTTCTATAACGCGCTTCGGTGATTCATTTGTTCCTTAAGATGGCACGAAAGGTTGACGAAGCTGATAATTTTGTTTTTGTGCAGTTAATTGAGCTTGCTTCATATGACCAACGCCCCCCAGACTATGCTAGGCAGGAAAATATAGATTTGGCTTGGGAAAGAATTTCTCATGAGACGAAGGAGTCTGGATCCCGTTTCAGTTCTTTCAAATCAAAATAAGCGCCTTAGTTCAAATTGTCATTTAAGAACGGATGCACCCAATGTTTTCTCTTCCTAATATTGGTTTTAAGCATCCTGTTGTATTAATATATCGTTTATTTCACATATATTTCCGTCTTAAATACAATTTCTTATACAGTCACCCTTTTTCCACATTACAAGGTTCGGCTGTATACAACTATCATTAGGTGTCTTCCATCTTGCTAAAACGGTTGCATTAAATGTCAAAATTTCGTATCGCGTGTGAACGCGATATTTCTTGATTAAAATAAATTGACTTTAATTAAATAAATTAAGTAACATCCCAGTATTTTTCTTACGGTCATCGTCCTCTCTTCTCACGCCGTCGCAACCGATCTCAACTACCACCATATTATGACAGTATCAGCATTATTATCTTCCATTATAGAAGGTAAGTGCACGAAATTAAAAAATACTATCATGCGTTACGTCGGACGAACATACCCACTTAGGATGTGAGCAACTAATCAAGCGTAAGTTTCCTCAGTGTGCGCCTACTAATCTGAAAACCAGTTTCCTGTTTGAAATTGGTGATTTTTCTCTGAAATTGCCGTTGCGTTGCAGTTGCCAGTTTCCTCGGTGTGTCCTCGCCCTAACCCTGACCGCTCACTTTGGTTTGCTACTCGTACTCATCCATGACTCCATGACGTCCATGACTAGTTTCCACATTCTAGGTTTGTTACCTGAATGGATATATGGAAAATAAATGAAATGAATGAATGTCTTGTATAATCACTTTCCAGACGTTCCAGACTGGGGTCGTCTCAAAATAGTTTCGATCGTTTCGACGTTGCCAGCTTAACCAAATGGAAAATATCTCGAACGAAAATGGTACTATGTAATCATAAAATGAAATGTATGATGTGATACGCGTAAAGAGAGAACTGGAATATGTTGCATTGCAGCTGCCACTACATATTCTTAGAAAATTTTTTCTCAATGTATAATGTTTTTGAGTACAATAATATATTACAGCTGTTGCAGAGCAATTGGTATGACAACTGCCGAGCGTAATACAGATCATACAGATTAGCCGATGCTGGCATATGTGTGGCAGATGGTACGGAAAGTTTGTTGTTGATATCAGCCGCATTAGCTTTTAACAGCTGTAGAAGAGTGGATGCAATGGCAGCTCAGGTAATACAACAGCTATTGTTAAGAATCAGAAACATATTACGTGAAGCCCAATTGCATGTATTTCATAAATTTTGTTTCTAGGTGCACGAGTTCAAAGTGGAGATGACGTGCAGTGGTTGTTCGTCAGCAGTGGAAAAAGTTCTTGGAAAACTGAAAGGTACGATGTTTGGAACTGCAGTGGGGTTATATAACTGCCAGTTATATTTTATTTTCTTATACCATAGTTGTATAGTTCAACTGCCCAGATTGACTGCAGTATGTACCAGTAGTGTTTCTGGCTGAAAGATAAGGTAAAGATGTCCCAGTTCTTAATTAATTAAGCATCATGCCATGAAGACATGGGGGAGTGGAGGTATAGTTCCACCATTCTTGACTTCAGATCTAGATGGAGGTGAGTGATAAACTTCATACCTGTGCCGCTTTACACCCAGGAAAAGCCCCCCCCCCCGCTACCCATTGGACAGGAGGCTGAGTCGCCCCAGAGTTGGTCCAGACTCTGTGGAGAAGAGAAAAATATTGTTTCTGCAAGGAATTAAACCCCAGTCATCCAGCCTGTAGCCCATTTCTATACTGACTGAGCTGTCTCAACTGCTGTGTTGATAGGTATTTGGGTGAGTGAATTCTGTTAAAGTGTCAGTCCCTCATGGCTTGTGAGAAGCACACTGCAAAACAGAAGCTTAGTATATGGTTTTTTTCCTTCCTGCACTAAACTCACTTGACTTTATCTTGCAGCACAAAGCCCAACCAGGAATATTCACTGGGGGATAAAAATTGTTCCAAAATTTAGTGTAGTATGAGGGTCCTATGCCATACTGAACATTTTATACCAGCATACATTTTTAAATAAACTACTTTCTTTGTGTATATTGACAGCCAAATTCACTGAAACTCAAATGTGTCATAATAAAAGCAGACAGCATGAAGTTCCAATGGGATCTGTGTATGCTCATATTTTTACATTGGTTTGTAGTGTAGCTCTGATATGGAATTTTTATGCAAGATGTTACTATACTCATAGTACATAAGTAACCAGGTATAATCAGAAGTGGATAACTTTTACAACATGAATTTTAATTTCTCTCATATCTGCCCTACTCACTGAATTTCTGTTCCTGTTACCTACTGAAATTTTATTATGCCAGTTGTTTAGAATATGCATGGTACATATGTCTTCCTTGCAGGAAATGAAAGAGCTCTATGAAATTAGTCCATAAGGCATTCATGCAAAAGTCACAGAATGTTTGCTTCCACTAGAGAACTAAAAAAGTTTTTGGATTATATGTCTGTTGGTGTTACCTAACCCAACATTAATGTGAAGAACAAAACTTAATGATAAGAGGGAATCAGTGTTATTCCAAGCTCATCAGTGTCCACAGCTCAGCATCCATCCTAATTACTCATTACTCTTAAACCTGACCATCAACTCATCCATGTAACAGTGATACAGAGTTTATGCAGTTTTGAAACAGTTCCTTTAAATTCTTTATTTATGGTTACTTTTTATGATCAGTGTAGCTTAGACTGCGTGGCACCAAATGGTAAAGAATTGGAAAGGATGCAATAGGAAACAGCCATGGCCCAATTTGAAGAACTGCCCCACATTTGACTGGAGGGATTGAGGAAAACCACAAGATCATCAATCATTATAGCCTGTATCCTTGCCAAGATTTGAACCACATGCCTTTCACACAAATTAAAAGTGTTACTATGTGATCCACTTTGCTCAGTAAAACATACCATTAATGACAGGCAATTGCTGAGTCCACCTGAGGCCATTTTGCACAGTTTTAGCTATGTATATATTATGAACGCATGAGATATTCCACACACATGCCTTGGTGGCAAAAGATGTAACTCATATTTAATGATATAAATCCTTACCGACGACAACTTTTGACAGACATTTTTATTGGAATTAGTCAAACATAATCACCTTATTCAGCTAGTTACAAGAGTGCTGTGTAACATAACATTTAAACACACTGAATGTCAGTGCCATAGTTTAATTTCTTCATACCTTCCAGGTTGCAGGTGCAAATCTTGGTCCACTGAGCAGCTACTCAGATTTTTTTTTGTGTTTTTCTTCAGTCACTCTAGTAAAACACCTGGATAATAATTACTGCTCCTTTCCACACACTGTCCAATTCATTATTCACTCATAATTCTACTGTCTTACACTGTTTCATCACAGCCTATGTCAGCATCATTGAATCTCTTATATTTGCCTGTAAGAAGACTGTCCATTTCTTCTTCACAATTTTCCTGTGTTACACCTGTTTCAACTACATTTGGCTTGAGGACCCTCCTGGAGAGGTTTTAGACACTTCCACACTCCTCGCAGAACTTCAGAAACCCCCAAATTACAGTCTTTTGTGTATTGCTCAAGAACTATTGTCCTAACTAACTGACTGACTCCATGGAGTTGAGCCCTTCTTTAGAAGCCACCATTTATGCAGCTACTCAAGAATTTCCCAACATTTTATGGACCCAGAGGTTCATTTCCATGTTCACAAGAGACCTCCACTGATCGCTAACCTGGTGGATACTGTTTAGGTGTGCATTCAGTTCACAATGGAGACTAAAACTGAGGGCCACCTCCTCTTCCTGGATATAGATATTTACAGGAGACCCAACGGTTCTCTGGGCCAAAACCGCAAATCCACCCATACAAACCTCTACCTTAATGCTGCATCCCACCACCACCCTTCCAACAAGCAAGCTGCACTTTCCACATTGGTGCACAGGGCTAGAGCACTGTGTGATCAAGACAGCCTACATGCGGAGTTGGTGCTCCTGAGGGATGTATTCAAGAAGAACGGATACAACAACCGGCGGATCCGCAGAGTTCTCAACCGTCAGCCCAACATCAGCCGGCCTGAAGATAAACCGGGCTCAGTCGCTTTCCTGCCCTATGTTGGGTCTATATTCAATGGTATGAGCAGAGTTCTGTCCTGGCACAACATCAGATCAGTGGATCTGCCTCCAAACAAATTATCCAGTTTCCTCCGGCCAGTCAAAGATAGCCTGGGACTAAGGACACCGGGTGTATACAGTATCCCATGCGAGTCCTGCAAGGTCTATATTGGGCAGATGGGCTACTCCGTGGACATGAGGTTGAAGGAGCACCAGCAGCACATCTGTCTCGAACATCCGGACAAGTCAGCTGTAGCTGAACACAGCATCAATTTGGGACACCTCATTCAGCTTCAGAATACCTCCATCCTTGCCACCAAGACCCGATATATAGAGGATCATTAGGGAAGCCATTGAGATTGAACTCCATCCCGACAGTATGAACAGAGAAGGGGGTTTTGTCTCAGCAAGTCATGAAAGCCTCTCATCTGTTCCCTAAAACCCCCCCTTGGGACATGACGCCAGATCCTCAAGTCCACACAGTCCATGACTGACCCACATAGCAAACCCCTTCAGCTTAAGGGTTAATGCCCTCCAATTAACCTTGCCTTTCTCCCCCAACACAATATCCTATACCTGCTCTAACCTTGCTACAGTTTCCTAGACCCTTCCCTTCTCCCTCTCCACTGATTTCCCATGTAGACTTGTCCCTTCCTTTCCTGCTCTCATATAGCTGAGTTTATTTCAAACATTAGTCTGCTTGCACCTGTTCTCACTGTCTCTTCGCTTGTGGATTTTCTTATTTTTCCTTCTACCCTGAAGATGGAGGTGATACGTTCCTCCGAAACGTCGGTTAACACCACATCTACACAGTGCCACATCCCAGAAGATCTTCAAGGCTTCACTTGCTGTATCTTGTATCTGTTATAATTTTTAAGATTTTTGTTTTCGGTTTTCCAGAAATACTTGTGTCGTATGAAAGGTATCCAAAATAAAATAATTACATCTTAGAAAGCATTTATTGTACACATTTATGGGTTACACCATTACAGAGGGAAACTATCAGAGTTTTTTCTGATATATAACTTTCTCAGTAAATTTCAATGTGGGCTCCCTTGGTGACATGACAGATCTCCAGATGATATTCAACTTTGTTCCACATTGCTTGAAGCATGTTTGGTGTTACCATAACCACAGCATCTCTTATGTGGGCTTTCAGGTGTTGAAGGTCATTGTCACCAATTTTCCCATCCAGAATGGTCTAAAACAAGGAGATGCTTATTGCCACTTTTTCAACTTTGCTTTAGAATATGCCATTAGGAAGGTCCAGGAGGCCAGGTGGGACTGAAATTAAATGGGACACATCAGTTGTTGGTCTATGCTGATGATGTGAATCTACTGGATGATAACGTAGATACCATAAAGAAAAACACACAGACTTTGGTCTAGAAGTAAACATAGAGAAAACTAAGTATATGTTGCTGTCTTGTTACCAAAATGCAGGGCGAAATCATGACATAAAGGTATGTGACAGATGCTTTGAAAATGTGGCACAGTTCAGATATTTGGGAATGATGATAACAAATCAAAACCTGATTCAGGAGGAAATTAAGAGGCGATTGAACTCTGGTAATGCTTGCTACCATTCAGTCAAGAGCCTTTTGTCTTCTCATCTGCTGTTCAAAAACATAAAAATTAGAATATACAAAACTATAATTTTGCCTGTGGTTCTGTATGAATGTGAAACATGGTCTCTGACATTGAGGGAGGAACATAGACTGAGTGTGTTTGAGAACAGGGTGTTGAGAATATTTGGAACGAAGAGAGATGAAATGACAGGAGGTTGGAGAAAACTGCATAATGAGTTCCATAACTTCAACTCTTCTCCAAGTATAATTAGAATTATGATGAGATGGGCAGGGCATGTAGCATGAATGTGGAGAAGAGGGATGCATATAGGATATTGGTGGGAAAGCCAGAAGGAAAGAGACCACTGGGAAGACCATGGTGTAGGTGGGTGGATAAATATTAAAATGGATCTTAGAGAGATAGGTTGGATGGTATGGATTAGATTTAGCTGGCTCAGGATAGAGATCGGTGGAGGGCTGTTTTGAACAGAGTAATGACCCTTCACGTTCCATGAAATGCTGGGAAGTTCTTGAGTAGCTTCACAATTGGCATCTTCCTAAGAAGGGCTCAGCTCCATGAGTGAGTGAACTCCTATGCTCCAGTTTTACTGGTGAATATTTGGTTAGATTGCGATAGATGTAATTTTTATGGAAAGTGACATAAGTTTCCTTGCAAGCCTATCCACTGGAACACAATATTTTTAGTCTGTTGTAATTTTTATGCAGTGTAAAGCGGTTCAAAAGAGAATAATCCTGGAATTCAGATGAATTTTGTCTAACTGTAGTTGTGAATCAGAAGTACAGTTTATCATGAAATTATACTGATAACTGTGTTCTAATATTAAAGACTTGTGACAGAGGTCATGTTTTACCCTCTAAAGACATCATTGTAACTGTGTTTGTTATCTGTATACAAAAATGTTTACATCATTTTCAGATGGGAAGGAGAGGCCTGTTAGATAAAGCTAATTCTTATCACTAGTGATAAGGCCATAATGCTAACTTGAGGACTGTCTGTCTTCTTATGCTTCCATGATTGCAACTGTAATTTTGCTATGGTGTAAATACATATTGTAGTTTGTTTCAAAGAGAAGAAGTAGACATTCCTTGAACTGATGAATTAACGTTTAAACAAGGTGCAACAATTTATTTCCAGGAATAGCCCTGTGAAAGCAAAATTTCCTTACCTGTGCACTAGCAGCTTCTCTCACCTTCGAAATACTCTCCTTGTGAAACTATGCGCTTTGTAAGATGATGATTACACCACCAACAGTCTTCAAAATTGTTTGCCAGAACACCCCGCAGTAACATTGTCATGTTGTGTTGGATGTCAGGAATGTTAGGACATATTTGTCCCATCAAGGCATTTTTTAAATTTGGAAAGAACCAAAAATCGCAAGGGGCTAAGTCAAGTGAATAAATTTGATGGTACATTTTTGTAATGGATTTCTTAGCCAGGAACTTGTGAACTCTTAACACAACAGGGGCATTGTCGCAGTTGTGAGTCCACTTGTCAGGCCAGAGTTCAAGTCTTTTCCTCTGAACAGATTCCTGTAACCTTTGTCAGCACTTCCAAATAATACTGTTAATTCACTGTTGTCCATGTGCAACAAATTGATAATGAAATATCCCCATGCGATCGAAGAAACACACAAGCATGTTCTTGAACTACGAGCAAGACATGAGTGCTTCTTTTGGCCAAGGTGAATTCTGTGTTTTCCACTGCATCTTCTGGCATTTCGTTTCTGGGTTGTATTGAAAACACCAAGTTTCATCACCAGTAATGACCCTATCAAACATCTCTGCATTTTGTAACAGATGAGATGAAATGTGAAGCTAACATTTCTTGTCATCTGTCAAGATTCGAGGCATGATCTTTGCGGACATTTTTCTCATTCCCAAATCCTCCATAATAATCTGTTGCACTGTTTCCATGTTCATATTCAATTCTTCTGCTATTAGTCTCACACCTAAAATTTGATTTGAGCGCACCATGGTTTGTACTTTGTCCACATTTGCATCTGTCCTTTGCATTTTTGCCTGCCCGCTTCTTGGGTCATCTTGCACATCTTGCCCTTCCTTGAACTGCGTATGCCATTCAAAAACACTAGATTTCTTCATAGTGTATTCACCATAAGCTACTATTAATAGGGCTAACATCTCACCAGCAGTTTTACGAATCTGCACATAAAACTTGACGTTTATCCACTGCTCCAGATTCTTGTCACTCATTTTTCCACCAACAGTATACGATAGTTCTTTGTGCTACTGATTTATCTAATATGACATTTCCACATCCTAAAGTGTTGGATTTTTATGAAATAATAGATGAGTAATGAAAATGAAAAAAGAGCTTGTACTGACGCCTGAAACCTTTGAGAGTTCTATAATATGATGTCTTGGTTCTTTTTTTTTTTGTAAACTGCGGGAGTTTTTGTTGTGTATATAGCTGATATGTTCTTTTTTTATTTGTTTTATATTATGAATGCCTCGACTTGTCACCCATTTTATACTGTGGATGAATTTTTTGTATATACTAGTTGGTAAGATTAATTGTATTCTGGTTCTATTCTTATGTCTTGACTTAGTTCTTTGTACTACTTATCTATCTAATATGACTTTTCCACATCCTAAAGTATTGGATTTTATGGAAATAATAGATGAGTCATGAGTTCTATACTGGGGGAGTTTTGTTGTATATATGGTTGATATGTTCTTTTATTTTGTTTTATATTATGAATGCCTTGACTTGTTCCTGTGGGAATGGAATGCTTGTTTTTTGATCTGTGACTCATTCTATATCCAGTGGTTGTTTCCCAGCCTGTATCTGGATCTGTTTTTTGAATTTGAAATAAATTGAATTGAATTGAATTGATGGACACATACTGCTTCCTCTGCTGCTTGGGAGCAAACAACTCATTTGGTCTGTGGCTCATGTAAACGCAGGTTGGAACATGCCCAAATGTGCTTGGGTACATGAGTTTGCCTGACTCAACACCCTGGCGACATGCTGCGGCCATTCCAGAAATTAAATTGTCGCACCTTATATATGGTTCAGATTACAGTCAAGTGGTTTGTAATACTGTGTAGTCTTGTAGGCAGACACCAGTATCTTGGAGGAACATATTGCCTCCAGCTTCCTGGTCGAAATGTTAAAGGTGAGGAAATGGTCCATTTAAATGTGTGACTCATGATGTGGGATAAGGAAATTGGACCTAATTCAGGCCAATGGAATTGGTTGGTTTGGTGAAAACATATTGGTACCCTGCAAAGGACCATTTTCCTGCATACTGTTCCCACTGACGTAGACAAGGTTTTATTTAATTACTTTCTTCTGTGCATCTGAGCAACCCCCTCTGGTGCAACCTGTGTATATAATTGGACTCATTCCTCACCTTAGACACTTCAGCCTTCACCACCATTCCCATAGCTAATTTCCATGGCATCCATCTTAATGTTTTTCTGTATTTCCTTCTGGTTTTAAAGTTGACATTTTCGAAGAGGTTTCACCACCAGAGTCTGGGGATGTTTGTTCAACATGAAAGATTGAGTAGCATAGAGATGAACTTGGACAAGTTTGGTTTCCAAAATTTGGGTGTTTGGTGTTTGAAAATGATTTATATTTAGAAAGGAGGCTGATGCACTGTTCATAAGGTTTAAAATAACAAACATATCTATAATTCATGGAGGTTAAAATCTTTGTTTCTCTTTTAAGGCCAAGGTGTGGAAAAAGTGGACATCTCATTGGAAGATAAAATTGTACTTGTTACTTCTACATTATCAGCAGACCAGCTGCTGGAAACCATCAAGAAGACTGGAAAGGAAACTTCTTATGTTGGTGTGAAACAGTAACCAGATGGGTCATTTTACCACAACATTCCCGCTTTTAAAATTTAATATATTATCAACAAATATTTGTGTCCATCTTCAGCTTGTAAAATATAGTTGTCTCTAAACATGATCCGTATCCTGTTTGTTACCAACAGCATAAGACTGGCAGCTTATAACATCAAGAACGATAGTCATTTATTGTGATATAATGTACCGGTAAGCATGTTCATGTATGAAAAATTTATGTTTAGTTACAGTAAGAATTTCCCATAAAGTAATAATAATATATAGTTGTTTGGGGAAAAAGTATGTTTCTAATATTTAAACAAGGTGTATATGTGTATAACGTACTGTATATGTACAACTGTACTCAACAATTAAAGGCCGAAGTAATGACATGCTTAATATGTTCTAGATTATAGCACAGTATAATTGTTATAAAATAGGTGATCAAACATATTCATATGCGATCCAAGTGCACACGGCTGATTTTTCTCTCATTAATAGAATTGACGTTTATTAATTGTTTCCAAGTTTTACTGGGAAAAATTTTCTTGACTTGAAGAAGTAGCATAAAGCAAACTGGTGTAATTTTTTNGAACCCTTTAGGCCGTGGGCAAAGGATTCCCGAATGATTGTACTACATGTTATGACTTGTCCATGTGTTACTTTGTAACAGTTACGGATGTTAATAAAGATGAAGATGAAGAAGATGAAGATTAATATGTAACATGTGTTTTCAGTTAGCAGAAGAGCAGCAAGTGTGAAGAAGGCAAAATTTATTTGTTATTGCATTAGTTTTCTTCCTTATTTGTGATTACAATAGGCTAATTTATATCTCTTTGTTTATTCTAAAGAAATTCAGTAGTTGTGTTGCACCATAAGAATTCATTCTTAACAGCAGACATAATTCATAATTCATAATTTTATTTACATCCATAACTGTAAAATATACAATCGGATAAAGTCAAAGGGAATATATAGATTTAATAACAATCACACCTAACATAATCAAAGAATGCATAAATACTTAAATATATTATATAAAAAACCACCAGCACATGCATTAACAGACAATTACAGTCATTTAATTCAACATCTTACATATAAAAAAACTCCTGAAGAGAGTAGAAGGCATTATACAACAAATAACACTTCAATTTCCTCCTAAACACTTTAAAATCAGATACATTCTTTAACTCCATAGGAAGATTATTGTATAGTTTTATGCCCATGTTTATCACACTTCTCTTGCAACGATTTGTATTACAATGTTGGGCACACAGATTATGTTTATGCTTTGTATTGTAATTATGCACATCAGAGTTCAGAGTTGTATAGATTCTATTTTTTATGATAAAACATAAAATCTCCAGTATATACAAAGAAGTAACAGTTAAAATTTCTAACTCACCAAACAGCCTTCTGCAGGATGCCCGATTATCAACGCCCATAATGGCTCTTATGCATTTTTTTTGTACTTTAAAAACTGTATCTATCTCTTTACCTCCACCACCCCAAAACATAATACCATACTTAAATATGGATTCAAATTTAGTAAAATATACATTTCTTAATACCTGTAAACTAACAGAATTACGTAAGGATTTGATCAGATATAGAGCCTTGCTCAGCTTAAGGCAGATATATTGAGTGTGATTCAACCAGCTCAAATTTTCAGAGATATCAATACCCAAGAATTTCACCGAAGATGAATATACTAATTCCCTATTGAATAAACGTATGACCGGTCTGTTCCTAGAAGTAGATCCTTTTCCATGGAAAAATAATACTTTGGTCTTGTCAGTGTTAACAAAAAGTTGATTCACATTAAACCAACTTTCTAGTTGATCAATAACCTTTTTGATTTTTATATTTAAAGAACTAAGAGAGTTATCAGTGAACAATATATTAGTGTCATCTGCAAATAGTACAACCTTAGCCTGAGGTATAGCATGTGGCAAATCATTAATGAATAATAAAAACAACAGAGGACCCAAAACAGATCCCTGCGGAACACCATGTTTAATTTCCTTAAGTGACGAGGTAAAGGACTTAGAATAACAGGATACATGGTCCTGGTGATAAATTTCTACATTAAAAATATATTGACTGGGGAATGTTCTTACACTTTATCAGCCAAAATCTGTTGCTTCTTGTAGTTGTGTTTGCTCAACTCTTAACATAAGGGAACTCAAAAACTATTGGAGAAGTAGCATTATCAAGCTAACATGTACAGAAATGCATTAAGATCTGCCCTATTGATTGGGGGTCTGTTATTAACTGTCTTGTGGTCCTGTTCAGAAGATAACATCAGATTTTATCCTTTTGTTTGTCAAAAAAGTAGTTGATTCTAGAGTGCCTAGAGCCAGTGCTTGAAATGACCTCTACCTGCTTATAATTGAAGCGTCAACAAGTTTGTCTCTCCGGTAGATGCCACTAGGATGCAAATAAAACAAGTGTGCATTCAAGTGTTATGGCCAGTAACAACTATTGTGTAGGAACATCGAGACATGCTACTAGGAGACAGAATAAAACATGAATGCCTAAGAACAATGTTTCTCAACTTTTATTTGTAAAGTGCCCCTTTAAAAATATTTTTCAAGTATCCCAGATACCTAAAATTTTCAAGCACAGATTTTTCTGCTATTGCAATACATTTGTTTAAATTATGTGATCATAACTTGTTGTTTGAAAGAAATTACATATAGGCAGTACTTGTGGTTGTAGTTATGATTGTGCAAAAAGGGTGCGACAGATTAGATGAACGTAAGTCAAATTTCTATTCTTAGATATACATACAGTGATCAATATAATTTTGAGAACTGTAAGTAATTTTTTTTAATATGAGCTTGTTTGAACGAAACATTTTCAGGCCTAGGTTCTGCACTGCTGATGGCCCGAATTAAATATTTTCCGAAGACACAGTTTATTAATTTAGTTTTCAATTCAGGCAGAGTGGAAAAATTTGCCAAAGATAAACAGGTTTATATGAATGGGAGAAGTTCTGTGAACCATGTTGTTTGTACTGAACTTTAGCTTTCTGCCAGAACTTGGGAACTTCTGTGAATTTCGTGCCTTTCATCTTCAGTACACTGTTACTAGAAAACTAAAAAAGTTGCACCTTTATTTCTTCTGAAGTCTCTGTTTTCTCAGCACTCTTGTCATCAAATGGATTCAAAATCTAAAGCTTCTGCTTGTGTTAGCTCCATCAAAGTCCAGAAAATATAATTCAGAATTTAATTCCAACATTGTCAAGTGTTATGTTATTAGTGTTTTGACATGTTCATCCAAAGTAATTTTATTTTCTACACAAATGTCAAAAGATAGTGAAACAACAAAATTTCAAGAGAAAGTGTTATTTTTCCAGAATGCTATTTTTTGGTCGAATGCTTGTACTTTATTGTGCAAGATACAAAGGTAGGCTAATCTGTAAATCCACAATTCACTTTGAAAATATTTTACCAAATCAGATTTGATTTCTCAGAGAAAGAATGCACATTCAGCCTTTAGCTGAAATGGATGATTGAACAGTTTGCTATATGACTTACAAAAATTTCCATGATGTAGACCAAAGAGAAGGAGAGAGTATGAAATCTGAAATGTCATGTTTTTATTTTTCAACATAAAAGAACTATATATCAATTATGGACCACCCTGAAAACCTGAAGTATCAAAAAAGCTGGGATATTCAGTCAGTAAATTAATGGGCCACAAGGTGGGTGATCTGATCTGTTCCCAGCAGAGGCTGGAATTTTCTCTTCTCCACTATGTCCAGGCCAGTCTTGAGGCTCACCCAGCTTCCTATCAATGGCAATTTTTTTTATTGCTAGTGGGGTGGGACTAAATCCCATGTACTGCGACCACTTCTGCCCTGTTGTACCAGCCCAAGATGATAGGTGAGGGTGATTATGATGATGGAGAATTTGGTGGAATGGAGATTGGCAGGGGAAACCGAAGTACTTGTAGAAAACTTGCCCCAATGTCACTTTGTCCATCACAGATCCCACTTGACCAGACCCAGGATCGAACCTGGGCCACCGTGATGGGAAGCCAACGACTATCTGCTTGAGCTGTGGCACAGCCTATCAATGGTAATAGTGTTATCATTTCCCAGGGTTAAAATTTTGAGATTAGGAATGCTTGGAGCTTTTCCTACACGTCCCCTGTTTGCTATCATGGTGTTTGACACAGAAAAAACGTTGTGGAAATGGCCAGATGTCCTTTTTTTTTTTCAGAAAAATGATTTTTAATTCAGAATTATTGGTGACTTAAGGGTATTATTGTTTAAATATACTGAAATTCTGGGATCTATGTGTGTCAGACTGGCACAAGCTGCAGCAAGTTTACAGATTCAGAATTGTAATCTGCTCCATTATAATCGAAGTATTATGGAGGCTATTAACCAGAGGTCTCAAGTTTTTATATATGATTTAGAGAGAACAGTTTTATAATATTGTATGAAAATGTATTGGCAGTTTTCTTAATGTAACTTTATAATTTAGCATACCGTTTTTCAGGTTATAAAATGTAATTATACTGCAGCAAGTAGCTGTTCTACAGGGAGATCACCTCAGAATCTGCTACAAATCATTTGGCTGCTGAGGTAGAAGGGATGCACACACTCCTCATGTCAGTTTGGCCTGCATACATTCAGACTGATGGCATAATTGATAAACCAGTATCCTGTACACAATTTCCTTTAATGTCGCCCCATTAAATGGCAGAAAAGCTGCTGTAGGGCAACCTTATGTATTACTATATGTTGGTCAGTCATAATCCAAAGCACCTGATAATATATTAAAAGTTCAGTCAGTTGTGTTACTTCTTGTGTTAAAATGCCATTTAAACATTACACTTTGAAACGCGCATGTTGATGTATGATATCCATGCGTAAAGTAAGGAGAAGATTCTGGCATAAATACCAGGAAGTTACAACTCCCCAAACAACCAGGTGGTCAGGTGGTCTTGGAAGAGAAATCAGATGAACTCACTGCTAGGCTTGAACATTATCTTTGAAAATCTCTTAGATGACTTGCACAACAGAATGAAGTTTCAGGTGATTTGGGTAGGTTTTCTTTATGAGTTGTTGGCCTATAGGCTTACTGATTATGCTACCAGTTCAAATGTTTGTGAGACTTGTTGGTGCGAGGAGTGCAGCGCAAGATTTGTAGGCCTAGAAGTCAGTGCATTAGGAAAGTACACGTTACAAGTTCTGTTCGTATCTCCTTGTTTGCTGTACTTTCCTTCCTAACAAAAGATAGGCTTTTCTTATCATCATGTGAATGTGTGTCCATCTGTCTTATAAAATATTTTTCAGCACGAAGGACCACTTACAGTGTAATTTGCTGTAAAATTGTGTTCAATCAGCATTTGTTTTAGGATTAGAGCTCTTTTTGTTGGTA